GTTTTTGTTTGGGGGGGGGAGGGGGCTGTTCAATTCACAGAAGTTACTCGAGGCAGTTCTCTGTATAATGAGGGGTGCCTAGAATCTAAAAAAGAGGCTTAAAACCACTGCCTTACGCCATTAGCACCTGCAGGAAGGTCAGGGGGAACTTTTAAATGGGCTTTGTGGATCAGGCTAAAAGAATTCCAAGTCTAAAGCTGGGGTTTCATTCAAAAATGGGGCGACTCTTAGAGATGGAAAAAACTTTGGCAAACTTAGGGTCACTCTCTCAGAGAGGAGGCAAAGTTGCTCCTGAAGAAAGGGTAAGTGGCAGCTCTGCTACTCCTCATCTCTTGCTATTGGCCATTTCATGTCAGGATAGCGACAGTCCTGGAGAAGGCCCTGTGCTTTCAGTGCAGAAAAATCAGTGGAAAAAGTGAGAGGCAGCAGCAGATAGCATTGGGATCCTTAGAGAAGCACAGGGGGGGCGTTTAAGAAGAACATCGTTCCACTCTGTGGCAGGGGGGCACCACTCAAATGTTACTGGGGGCCATGGAGAAAGTTTGTAGCCTCCACTGGACAGCAACAACTGGGATCCGCTCCAAGCAGTCATAAGACCTTGGCATGCCATGCGTGCCGGGACAGCCTGGATCAGAGCTTGCCTATACCAAGGTCACAGGCACGGGCCATCAAACATGCAGGGGGCAGGGACACAGGCGGCTACTCACTGCTTCTGTGTATGCTTCGCAGTTTTGTTCTTCGTAAGCTTCCAGCAGCTTCTAACAAAGTTGAATCAAAGGCTACATGTTAGAAGGTAAATGAGGCAGAAATCCAGCTTGCCAGCCACTTCTGCTGTGCTACAGCCTACCCATCATTAATGAATGCTTCTCTGTGTTGAGAAGAGACTTGAAAGAATTGTGTCCTTGAGCACAGGACAGAATGGTTAACTCCTTAGCCTGTTATGCCCAGCAATCGATAGCAGCAGGATACTGCCCAAGCAGACCCTTTGGATCTATTCCACTGCCCTACATCAAACAAATGAAAATCTGCTTTCATTATGATCATTTTCCACTTGCAGTTCAGTCCCCATTTTCATGCATTCCAAGGGATTTGAATGCAGGGATATATATAGAGGCTGGTGCCCTCTAATACATGCAAGTGTGAAAACAGATCATTTCCCACAAGAAAAGGACACAGGAGAAGGGCAGCCTTTTTATTTGCAGACCAGTAATTAAGCTGTGAGGACACCAATCACCATCAGCTCCACTTACTTTTAACAACTTGCACTCTCGTGAATCTGTGAATGCTGGAAACATTTCTTCATACTTCTCTAGGGCCAGCTGAAAGCAGAGAAGCCAACACTGAAGTTCACTCCACACCTTTACCTTCAAACTTGTGTGTGCAGATGAACCCTAATGCTTCCTGTTTACTCACACAGTCCTTCATGGGCCCTAATGTGAAAACACCACAGTTTGATGCATCAGGCTCCAAGTGAATCCCAACAATGCAAGTTGAAACATGGCCTTACAGGGTGTTTGTATACATGCTGGGGAGGAGGGGCCCTTTAATTAAAGCAGCTCTTGGAGCTGCTTTAATTAAAGTGCCTGGAGCATCACATTTATTAGCTTCCCTGCACTGAAAAAATGGCAGCAGGGGTGCTTTAACTAAAGCTTGTCAAACGAGCTTTAGTTAAAGCACACCTGCCTCCATTTTTCAGCACGGGGACACTGATGCATGTGACACTGGAGTCTACTGGAGCACGGTAATTATCACACTCCAGCAGACTCAATTTAATCGAGTCTTTTGACATGCGATAATTATCACGTCGGAGCAGCCTCACTGCACATATTACGGGTACCCACACAGGGACCGGGTGCATCTGAAGTGGGGGAAAGGGTTGTGTGCGTTTGTGTATAAAGCAGCAGGTGCAAGAACAGGAATTAGGTGCTTTCTACACAACCCAGGCTAAGGATGTGTTTTCTGATGCCAAAGTTAAACTGGAGGTCTTAGGTCAGGGGGCCAGCACCAACCAGATTTTCTGAATCTGCTCATCTCAGAGCACGAGCAGGGGCTTACAGATTGTCAGGCTCTCACAGATGGAGCAGCTGCCCTTGCTGATTATTCTGCATCGTCTGCATTAGAAAGCAAGCAGCGTTTCAGACACAACACTGTTTTGGTTACAGTTATTTCAGCAGAACTGTAGGAGCCAGTGCACCTTCACATAGCTAACGTGGCAATTTAGGCAGCCACGGACTAGCAGTTTCTGGCACTTCTGATAGTTTAGATTCAGCATACATACACTCACCCTGCACTCCTTTACTGGGCATGCTCACCACACTGTGCTGTAGCTGCACAGGTACCCAGGCAGAACAGAACCGGCTGGCCACGTGCATAGTGCCAGGTACTGCAGGTAACTGCCTGACTCACAAGGGAGATGGAGAAGAAAGGCCTTCCTACCTTTTAGCCCAGTAGCCCAGTGGTTAAGGCACTTACCCAGGGAATAGGAGACCCAAGTTCCAGCCCCCCTTCCTTGCCCAGAAGCTTGGACCTTCATCTCCCGCTTCCCAGCGTGGTGCCCTACAAAGTAGGCCACAAGCTAAGTATTGCCCAGAGGTCTCTTAGGCCCTCCCAAAAGGTGAAAGGGTCCCCTGGCAGGTTGGCATACAGTGTGACCCTCTTCCATCACAGACAGACAAACTCAACCAAATATTGCCATTACAGAGCTGCACGCACACCACTTTAGGCACTTGAAGGAGAAATAGGCTGGAGCCCCAAGCGTTCTCCAGATGAGTTAGAAACTAGGAACTAGTGAACAGTTAGTTATATGCAAATCCCCAGCCTCCCAGTTTTTCATGAACCTATCCCTCCACTATAACATAGCCCCTGCCCAGCTTTGAGTCAAGCCCATTCCCTGAAGCCAGGGGTGGGCAATTATTTTGGACAGAGGGCTGCTTACTGAGTCTTGGCAAGCCATCAAGGGCCACATGACAGGCAGCCAGGGCAGATTAATATTAAATTTTCTAAATTTTTTAGGGGCCCTGCAGGCCAGATTGAATGGCTTGGTGGGCCACATCTTGCCCACCCCTGGATTTCAGCCAATCTAGAGCCAGGTCAACCTTTCACATCCAAAGGGACACATTCCACAATGTGCCCGGAGATGAAAAAATGGTGTTCAATTCACCACGCGAGTAACCTTTTTAAGCAGCATTCACTGTTGATGTACATTCTTCAAGTGGTATATTCCTCAGGCTTATGACAGCTGTAACGCTTGTATTAGTGGCAAGTGATGATTGCACCCCAGCTACATGATCTTCTCCCCTTTCAGCCTAAACCGATTAACATTTCTCTAAAGAAATGCAAAAATCTAGAACTCTTGGTTCCAAAATGATACCTTATTAGACAAACATTTTTTTTGCAATTTCTCAGTTGATCTAAAAGTAGGCATCGTTTTGGAACCAAGAGTTCTAGATTTGTGCATTTCTTTTTGTCTCAGACCAACATGGCTACCACATACATCCCGGTAACATTTCTCTAAGGAATCTTTAGTGTCTTCTGTGCTGGGGAGAAAAGGATCCTTAGCCGGACTCCTAAAACCAACTCATTTCTCTCCCTGCCTCTCTAAACTAGAGATTAAAAGGCTAAAGGAAGGTCTCCCACAGTCAACAAAAGGAAGTACATTCTTGCTTTTAGAAACAGAAGCCAGGCATGACTTAGAATCACTTTCTCCACAACTTTGCAGGGCCACATTTCTCATAAACTGACCTTTTTTGGACCCAGAGGTTTCAAGTCAGACAACAGCCTGATCCACCACACAGTACAGTCAATGCAAGGACTCTGATGGGTTTCCACAGGTTTTGCCTCAGTCCACCCATTACCTGATTAAGCGTGCAAAGAACTGTACTTGATAGTCTACCTTGGCTAGTTTGCACTTATAAAGCCCTGGCACAAGAACTAGAACCAAGTTTAAGTCAGGGTTACAGTCAGCCCCAAAGATTTCTGATGAAAAATTCCTTGCATTAAAAAGCTTGTCTAACTCTATTACAACCATACAGTTGGTCCAATGAAAGATATCACCCCAAAAAATCCCTGCCTCTAGCATAATTTTTGGACTGTCATGGCTACATCATCACTCTTACACTGAAAAGATTCCTATGCATATTAAATCCTGAGCAAGATTGGTAATATAAGTTTTGAAGAACCATAAATCCTGCCTTTTTATAGTACAGATCCTGTTCTATAGCTGGAGAGGAAAGATCAGATGCTGTACGTCCAAAATGAAGAACTGGTTGTCTTGCTCTCCCCCATGTGGAGCTAAGGAGAAGGTTTTTTGACCTTGTTTTCTGAAAACAAATTGCAGGCCCCATCCTGTAGTTATGAACATGGGAGCCCACTCTGTGGAAACACAAACTTGTTGCAGTCACGCAAAAGCTATCTTATGTCAAGGCTGATGGTCGTTTGATGAAGAATTTAGTTTATGCATTTGTATAGGATGGTTTGGATGGGGATGATCCTGCCTCAAGCAGGCAGTTGGACTAGATGACCTCTGGAGGTCCTTTCTAGCCTTACTTCTCTATGATTCTATAATACTAACTTTCCAATGAGAAGTGAAGCGAAGGGAAGTTAAATCTGGGGATGCTATACATTTTGGAAGAACACACAGAAGAGGACTAACCTTTGCATTCAACTCATCCACAATAAAGTGGCAGAGAGCAGCCTTGAAGAAGTACTCTTTTGCACTGTACTTGAGCAAAGGGTTGTCCATGGTACTTGTTGCAACCTAGACAAAGGAGGTAAGATTACATCAATGAATACCTTACAGCAAGGGCTGAACTAGGAATCCAGGAGGGGATTAAAATTGGACACACTCACTCCTACATGTATAAACAGACAAGATTACAAATACCAGGCCCTTGGGAAAAATAAAAGGCTAAACAGGTTTCTTCTGATACCTCTAATTCCAAAGAACAACACAAGAGTCCCCAGTCAAAGGGGCTGCAGTGCATGCGTCCCATCTGTAAAGATCAGGGAACAGAAGTAAGGCTGTGTGGGGGGAGGATATTTAAGAGCACTGCTTCTCACAGAAGGTGTGCATGTGCTCACTCCCTCTTAGTGATGCGTTTCATTCCCTGATCTTCATCATTCAAACTGAGCTCTCCTAGTAAGAGATAGAGCCTCGCACCATTGTAGGGCAAAACATTGCAGGCAGAAAGAACTCCTTGCAGTGTTCCCATTGTGTTGGTACAGCATTACAAACTGTTACTTTACAGAGACAGACAGGCCAAACCCCGAGCCCTCTGCACACAGCTAGTGGAAGGAATCACTTTCTCTCTCTCATCCAGACACCACTTGGGGGATACAGTCCTGGAGTGCCAGACTGGAGAGTTGGCCCCATGAAGCCAGCAGTACTCCAGACCTCAAAAGCGGTGAAGTGGGGGATTGGAAGAGCATGGCTGGGGCCCATAGGCAATACATGGGGGGAGCACATGTCCCTCCCCCCACCAGGGCCACCATCGACAGTGCCTGCAGAAACTCATCAGCTTCATTCCCGCCGCCAGTGGCAGTGCCTGCAGGTGCCCCCCCAGACTCAGGAGGCAACACCAGCCACCCATGCTGTGGCCTCAACATCTTGTGCACTGGCTTGCAGCTGTAAGACTGCTGGGAAATAGGAGAGAATCTACACGTGCAGAACAGGGGCAGTAACTATCAGTAACTTTTGGAAGGCACCAGCATTTTCCTCCCGGCAGCTAGGGAGACCTCACATCTACTGCACTGGGCAAGTGTAAGCCTCCCAACCACCCCTAAGCTACAGCAGCCTTCTCTCACACCTTAATGCTCCAGGTCTCAGGCAGGATCCTGCTAGGTGCAGCACACTGCTCTCCTGGGGTTTGAGAGAGCTCAATAAAGTTACTAGATCAGGGCCATAGTCTTCCAGTGGAACCTGTGCATACTCCAAGGTTTATTCGTTAGTGCTGGCGGGCCTTGAACAGTCAGTGCGTCACAAGTGAAGCCTTGCCCCAAGAAGATCCATTGGTATTTGGTAGGGATGGGGGGCGTGGGGGGGGGAAGGAAGTGAGTGAGTTTTGTCAAACCCCATTGGTCTCCTATTGGGTTCAAAAGCAAGTATCAGAATAACATATTCCAAACTAAAAATCTTTCAGTAAGATGCAACAGTTCAGTTTGTACTTGGACGTTGACTGACACTAAACAGGACCTTTGGAGAAAGGGGTAGATAGAAAAAAAAGAAGAAAAAATCCCACAACCCAAATATATGCATCGTTTGAATTCACAGATGAGGTTCCACAAGCAGTAAATGACTCCTCACCAATATTTTGAAGTCTACTGTCCTTTTTTCTGAATGTTTAACATGTAAAATGAAGGTAAAGTTTGGGAGAAACAAAATCTCTATTAAAGTGATCTACTCAATTGCACTGATACGAGACAATAGTTTGGGTCAGGGCTGTCCAAAGTCCAAGGGATGGAGAGGCCAGTGTGTGCAGCTAGCTTCAGCCTCAACTGTGAAATCTCTGTAATTAGGGAGGAAAAGGACCTGTTCCTGATACCAGTGCAAGATGTGGTTATAGGCCAGTGTCAAAGACTGCCTATACTTGTGCTTAGGGGTGAGAGGAGGGTGTTTTAATTTGAGCAATTCCTGGACAGCTGCTTTAATTAAAATGACTCACCATCACACATATTAAGCCCCTGCACATTCCAAAGTGGCCACCAAATGATTTATCCAAAGCTCATTCAACAAGGTTTAGATACAAGTGTCCCCACAGCCATTTTGAAGTGTGCAGGGGCTTAATACACGTGACAGTGAAGCAACACTGGAGCATCCTATTTAGAACATGGAGCAAACTTGATTAATCACATTCTAATTAGAATACAAACAAGCATATTTAAAGGCATCCAAAGAACCCGATCCAAAGCCCACCAGGAGAAACTCGCAAGCTGGTAATCATGTCATTTCAGTCTGCCTTGTCCACACTGAATGCATGGACTTACCTGCTCATAGATTTCGACAGCCTTCTGGTACTGCTCCAACTGCGCAGCATAAGTAGCCACCTTGAGCAGACACTTATTGGCTGAACTGCAACCAAGGATTACAGTTATTGTAAGGACTGGCACAGAACAAACTGATATAAACACCGAGTTACCTAACAGATACCATCCCCAGTTAGATCATCCCAGCCAAGGTTTTGTCTCACCGGATCTTAAAAACCTCCAAAGATGAAGATTCCACCATCTCCCTGGGTAACCTGGTCCAGAGTTTTACTACCCTCCTAGTGAGAAAATTCTTACTAATATCTAACCTAAACTTCTCTTCCTGTAACTTGAGCCCATTGCTC